CCCCTGCAGCCCTTCTCCTCCCTCCCGTGCTGGTGGGTCCATCGCTGCGTGTCACGGGTGGGTTGGTGTGGGGTCATGTGCGTTTCCACGCGAGGTATCCGTGGGGTGCCGGGGTGCCCTGGTCCTTTGGGGTTAGGTGGGCCTTCTTCTGCAGCCCTGGCTTGAAGGGAATCGCTTGGAGGAGGGCGAAGGCACGAGGGGGGTTTCTGCAGGGTGGGGGGTACGAACGGAGCTTCTGTAGGAGCAGAGGGTTTGGGAGCGAACGACCCCGCTGCGGTCTGGGGACTGGGCCAAGAAGGTTTGAGGAGGGTTTAGGTGGGGAGACTGGGGCTGCTGGTGTGAGGAGGCACATGCTCTTGCTCGCAGGGAAGCATGTGGTACTATTCGAGTGTTTGGTGCGACTAGTTAAAGCTCTGAACGGGCAACCAGCTGTCGGAAAGGTGCGCGTCGAAAGCGCTGAGCAAGGGAGTGGAGTCTTGAGAGTCTCGGTGGCTGCGTGAGAGGGGTGCCACTAAAATATTCAACAGCGAGGAGCGGCGGGAAGCCCCGAGGGAGTGTTGAGGGATCTCGCAATGGTTTTTTTTGTTCTCGTTTGTTCAGTTCTGACCATAATAACTGTTTGGAGTAGGCGGGGGCACTTCAACCTAACCCCCTCGCAGGTTGGGTGTGGGTGGAGGAAGCCCCAGAGGGAGAGAGGAGTAGAAAGAGGGACAGAGGTAACATGTTTTCTACAAGATTTTTTTTATTTTTAACTGAGGGAATGGACTAGATGGGAGTGGGAGGGCAGAGGCACTAGAGGACAGGGCCCCTAGTGACCAGATTAGATGAAGCGGAGAGGGATCTGTTGCTAAATTATTGATCAAATCCTGTAAGGTCAGTGGGGAGTAAATCCATACTGAGTTTAGAAAAACAAACAGGATGGCTTGAGAAAGATGGGGTGTTGAACAGGGGGCGTGTGGCGTTATTGCTGTTAGGGGCGACAAGTGCGTGTGGCAGCCAGCTTGATTTGTGCCCGAGCTCCTTCAGCTCGCTCAAAAGGAAGCATTCCTCTTCTGTAGGACTCCGCAGGGTTAGGATGCGGTAGGGAATGCTTCAGGGGCCAAACCTAAGGCGTGGGGTTGCAGCGGGAGGTGGTTTAGGTTCTGTTTTGGTGTAAAAAAAAAAAAAAAAATGGAACGGGACGCCTTGGTCAGCTCAGCGCCGGCTCTTCCCCCTCCCTCCGCACCGCTCCGCGCTGCGAGGGAGCCCGAGGGCAGCTCTGCAGTGTGGGTTCGCACGGAGGTGCCACCCCGTGATTCATTGTTCCGTTTGGAGCGACTGTCGAGGCAGATTCTGGCACGGCAGAGCGCGAGGTTTCCAACAGCCTTTTCATTTTATTTACTGCTCTCGTGCCAGGCTGGTGATCCATATGGCTTTGTTCTCCGACGCCTCAGACGGAGGGATCATTAGCTGGGCTTGCCAAATCAAACGTGGCATCCTCTGGTGGTGTCTGCTGCGGAATCCCCTGCCCCGGCGTGGATGTGGAGCCCTGTAGGTTTGCGTCGAAGGCAGCGGTGTTTCTCACGACTGGCGGGCGCAGCTCCTGCCTGCCCGATACTTGCTCTTGCTGACCCTTGTCAGAGCGCGGGGTTTTTGGGGTTTTTGGCATTTGTTCGTGTTCAAAGCAGAACAACTGTTGTGTTCGCTTGATTGTGAGGCTGCCGGTTCCCTCGCCATCGAGGGAAGGTATCTTCACACCCCGGACCAGCAGGTACGTGTGATTCCTCGTACCCTCACCGCCCTCAGCCGTTCAGTGTGACTGTTGTGTTTTGTCTGCACTACAGTAGCTCTGATAAACCCCACTTCGGTGCAGGATCCCAAAGCCAAGAAGTCAAATATCTCCTATTTTTAGGTTTTTTTTTTAGCTGTAGACTGTTTTTTCAGAAATTATGGGAGTGGTCTGTGCAGAATTACTTTCCAGATTCATATAAATGCAGGTAGTTAATTTTTTTTAAAAAAAAAGTGTACCTGCCTTTCCAGTGATATTTGAAGGGAACTTCAGTCACACCCCCCCTCTGCTTTTTAATCTGTTTTTTTTTAATTTGTTTAATTGTGTTCTCCTTGTCAGGTGGAAGATGGGACCATTTCCCTTGTGCTTTAGGTGACTCTGAAACCTGGTCACCATGAAGTCCCGAAGGAGATAGAGGGACAGTAGTGGGAATTTCTTCTCACTCCTCCAAAAAAAATCCAACAATTGCCTAATGGTAAGAAAACTGTTATTTTTAATTAGCCTTGTCTTGTATGGTGTCCATTAATCGAGGGACACATTGAAGAGTTTGAGATTCAAACCCACTGGGCCCCATGGGGGGATCGAGGAGGGTACAGGCTGTAGATGCTACGTGTTTGGAGAGGGTGGGAGGAGTTGGTTTGAAAATACGGTTGTCCTCTGTTTTGTGTCCTCTCCCCAGGGATTGCCTCTTATGCTGACGTCATGGGGACCTGCTGCAGTTGTCTGTGCAGAGACAGCATCCCAGACAACCATCCCACCAAATTTAAGGTAAGTATTGCACCTTCAGCCCCATCAGAGAGTCTGTGACAGTGCTGCTTGCTAGCAAAGTCCAGCATGGGTTGGACTCCAGGCATGAAAGGAGAGAAAACCTCTCCTCTTGCAGAGAAGTCTTTCACTTGATAAGATTTGCAGATACGTCACTGGTTTGGGTTGGGTTTTTTTACCCCTTTCCTTAAGCAACCTCTGCTGCAAACAGGTTTGTATTTGCAGCTGAAATTGCCTCTGCGCTGAGATTCAGCCTGAGCAAGGAAATGGGGAACTGGAGAGAAACCTTTTATTGCTCAGGGCTGTGTTCCAGTCTCTGGGCTGAGACGCATCAGCTGCACTGCCAAGCCCACGGTCTCCAGGGCTGCCGGCTTGGGGCCTTCTGCCAGCGATGGATCCGTGTGCTCTCGGCTGAGAAAGAGGCAGCTCAGCAGATGAAGGGGGAATCCACGGGAGTCACAGTGTCTCCGTGGGTGGGCTTTTTTGCTGATACCAGCGCCCTGAGTTTCCTGATGTGAGCTCTGGGGCCTCTGCAGGTGACAAACGTGGATGATGAAGGTAACGAGCTGGGAGCTGGGATTATGGAGCTGACACAGACGGAGCTCATCTTGCACACTCACAAGCGAGATGCCGTCAGGTGGCCCTACCTCTGCCTGCGCCGCTACGGCTACGACTCCAACCTCTTCTCCTTCGAGAGCGGCCGGCGTTGCCAGACAGGGCAGGGTGAGTGAGGACGTTCCTGGAGGAAGGAATGCTGAGGTTTCTGTTCCCAGGGAGCCGGAGTGAGCTGGTGCTCGTGTCCTCCCAAATTCCCGCCTCTTATGAATCAACAGGTTCTTTTGCAGCTTCTGTTCCCCCAGAATACCGCAGTGTGGGTGCACATACAGTTTAAAACACTGATGAGAACAGCAACCTGGGCATAAATCTCATGGTCTGGTTTTGCTAGTGTGGGGGGAGCTCGTGAGGCACTCGGTGAAGGAGGCTCGAGCATTGGCTGGGGCGTGTTTAATGGCAGAGGGGACGTTAGTTACACGGTCAGCTCTGCTCCACGCCGACCGGTGGGCGGCTGGACTTTCCTGAGGCGCTAGAAAGCGCTTTTGGCAAGGCTGAAGCTTTGTGAAGCATCTTGTAACGCCGGGGCTGAGGTGAAAGGGCACCACCAGGTCCCTCTTAGGGTTCACTTCTTCCCCAGAGCTGCCAAACGCACGTAAGTAGCGACAGTTGTTTGAGCCCACTTTGGTTTTCTCGGTGCGTTCTCTCTGCCTTGGTTAGCGCTAGTTCTGCTTCACGCTTTGCACTTCGGGTCTGGCAGCGCTTTGGAACGGAGAGGGAAAGGAGTTCCACGTTTTACTGATTTTTATGCTGGGGGATGCTGTGCATAGAGAAGGGAAGTGAGTCACCCAGGAGCACATGCCAAGTCATCAGCAGCGCTGGGAATAGACTCCGATTTTACAATGGTGCCTGTGAGTTCCTTTCCCAGTCTGTCTCTCTTGCTTTTAAAGAGCTGAACGTTTTCTTGGCATCTGCATCCCCGGGGGTGGGGGAAAAAAAAAAAAAAATAAAAGTTTGTTTCATCGTTCTATTAACGTGTTTGTAAACTCCTCCTGATCCAAAAGGACTCCACGTGACCGTTGGGTGTCTGTGTAAAGCACTACGCAAACCTGTGGTGCCGTATGCTCCTTCTCAGGATTTATGTACGTGGGGTTTGCCTCTCCTGGAGTTTGCAGTTGCCAGCAATGGGAGCTGCTTGTCTTTGGTTTCTGTTTTGCCTTTTGCAGGGTGCAGGTCAGTGATTACAGTCCTGCCCTGTGTTGTGCTGGTTTTGTTTAGGTCGAGGCAGCGGTGATACAGCAGAGCTCTTTGCTCTTCCTATATTACACAATTTTTAGCAGACACATACTTACTCATCAGTCTTAAAGCAGACAGAAATGAGAGGGGCGGTGTTGTTTTGATGAGTTTTCTCCCTCTCTTGTAGGATTTGATTCTGCTTAGTTCATTTTATTTGGATTTTTTTTTGCGGCTCCCCACCTTACATGAGGCAGACATAGCTGGTTTTTTTTGGCCGGAATTTTTAAAAATCTGATTCTTTGGGGCAGCAGCTGTTGTTGCCATGCTGTTCTTGTTGCTATGGCTTTTGTGCATGTGTGTGCGTGCCAGCGTGGGATTGGTGAGCTCTGCACGCACCGGCTCTGCTTTGGGCTGCTCCTTTGGGGAGAGACTGTTTAATTCCGTACGCTTTTGAGATCCGACGTTCTTGTCCATCCCTCACGTGCGCGCTCCACAGGGCCCAGTTCAGCTGCCTGAAGTCACTGGACAGAGTCCCCTGGTAATGAGAACTGGCCTGGGTGCCAAGTGAGTTAAAATAGAAGATTAGAGGTGAAATGAGACCAGTTAGCCTGTCCCTTTCACTCCCCTGCTCCTGTGGGATGGATTGTTGTAAGATAACCGGGGTGCTCGCTGTTTTTCTTGTAGTAACGCACCGTTTGGTCAGATGGCAGTCGTGGCGTTGTGTTTCTGTGGATGCAATAATCCACCGAGGAGTTGGCTGGTTTCCTGCGGCTGTGGGCTGCAGGGATTGACTGTGTTGAGCACAGCAAAAGAAGTCGGGATTGCCTGTTCGTTTGGAGCCGGGAATTCCATGTGTTCTGGTTAAAGCGGGATCGCTTTCATGCTTTTTCTGACCCTCCTCTTGGTTACTGTGCAGGGATTTTTGCCTTCAAGTGTTCCAGAGCAGAGGAGATCTTTAATCTGCTTCAGGACCTGATGCAGTGTAACAGCATCAACGTCATGGAAGAGCCTGTTGTCATCACCAGGAACAGTCACCCCACGGAGCGGGAGCTCTCCCGGACTCCCCAGGCACCTAACAGTAAGGCTCCTTCAGCGTCTGGGGAGAAGGAGGGGGGAACACAAGGTGATGTCTGCAGTTGCTCGTGTGAAACTGCCCTTTGCAGCCCACAGATCCCTCCCGTGCCCTGCCTGGCTGCTCACCCCTATCTTTATGTCCCCGTGTGCCCTACGCAGCGTGTTTGTGCTACAGCCCCGCTTGTCTGCGATGTGGTGTTTTGTTTCCAAGGAAACAGCAACAAAAAGCCCTTCAAATAGTCAACCGAGTTGTCACCCTTCAGTTGGTTTTCAACTGGACCACTGTCGAGTGGCCCCTTTTAAGTAGCACCTACAAGGATCAGGTCATTCCTAGAGGAAACCACAGCTGGAAGAATTCAGATTTGCTCAATTCCTGTCTCCTTTAGGGGATGACTCAAACAGAATTAAACAAGAGGGCCTAGCCCTTGTATTTATACCAGGAACTTCATCGTAGGGATCTTCTCCAGACAGGCTGATTCTGGCTTACAGGGTGCAGTTAAGAGGCCAGCTCACCGTGAAAATGAAGTCAACTCTATTTTGTACCAAGCCAATGCTCTAATACTTGCCTGTCTTAATCCTCTCCAAGGTCTGGGGTACACTGTCCCAGGATTTCCCAATGGATTTCCCAGCTTCCCTGGAGAAACCCTGTCATACTCGGCAGCCCGCCACCCCTCCGTGAGCAGCCTGAGGCATTCCTCTGTGGGTGAAGACTCTACTCATGCCCTTATTGGGCCTGATGAGCAGGTAAACCTGGATATCCTAAATTTGCTGTTCACAAGCAGCTTGCTTTGCTAGCAGTCCTGTGCAATGCTCGGTTTCTCTTCCTTCAGCAAAGCTCAGGGGATCCTCACACCTCTCACACCTTGTCATCCTTTTTTTTTTTTTTTTTTTTCCCCTCTTTTGCTTCATTTTGCTCTTGTAGACTTCTGCTCTCTGCCGCTTCACTAGAACAGATGCTCTGTCAAGGCTGAGTTGGCTTCCTTGATCCACGAGTATTTGTGTGGCAATTATTTAACAGCAGCACTTGGCTTGTGAGCCCAAGTCACGTTGCCTTATCTGTCAGCTATTGCTACAACCCCTAAACTGACGTGCAGGTGCATACCCAAGTTCAAACTCTTCTTATTTTCATTTTTGGTGTTCAGCTCTCTGTCCTCAGTTTTAGAATTTAACTTTCCCCTACAAAATCCAGCTTGTCTCAGCCGTTACCAGAGAAGCCTGGGTAGGTGTGAGCGCTGCAGTATCAGCAGTGTAAGCCGCTCAGGAAAATATTTTTGCGAGTGGCTTTGCTTTCTGTTCCGTGCCGTATGCATCGAGCGTGAAATAGATGGTGCAGCTGGCCTCCTCCTTGTCTCTCCTTCAGCCCCCAAATCCAGAAATGGCTTTGGTGTTTCGCTTCCCGAAATCTTTTCACCTTCTGAAGTTCGTTCATCTCCTTCTGCGTCATCGGCCGCCGAAAAATTTTCCATTCCTGTTGGTTTCTCAGCTGCTGGCAGCTGCGTTGCTCTTGTCTCTTCTCTTCTCCTTTCACTGTCCCTCTGCTTCTCTCCTTGCAGTCCCACACCTACGTCAACACGGCCAATGGCGATCAGGAGCTGAGGGGCCGACATTGTATGCACTCCTTGCCTGAAGCCCACCCTCCTTTCCCCCCTAGGAACCACAGCTGCTCCCTCGAAGACCGCAATCCCCAGGTCTTTCTGCAGCCAGGGGAGGTTAAGTTCGTGTTAGGTCCCACCTCCACCTACAGGCGCGTCTGTCGGCACCACCGGGAGGGCAGGACGCACTTCTGCCCCCCCCCCAACAACAACAACGAGTGTGAGGAGGGGTGCCCCTCGCCCCAGTGCGTCTACGAGAACGTCAACGGCTTGCTGCCCCCCAGCACCTCTTCTCTCTGCCGAGGAGGGCGCTTAAAACTCGCCCGGGAGGACGCGGGCTTCCCCGGCTGCTCCCAGCGCAGAACGGCCTTGCTGCACTACGAGAACTTGCCGTCGCTGCCCCCGGTGTGGGAGTGCCAGCCCCTCCGGCGGGACGAGGAGGACGCGGGCGCCGGGGACGTGCTGACGCCTTCCCCCAGTGGCTTCTCCGAGGCTGGCGAAGAAGATCCCCTGCAGAACTACGTGAACTCGGAGAACGCCGCGCTGCACAGGGGCAGC